TCCCTGTCTCTTTTACTTTCTTTTTTTTTCGAGAATTAAGTATTGTTTTCGTGACTACCAGTAAATCAGTAATATGAGATGTATTCACGAAAACAATAATTAATGCAAAAATAAAGTATAGTAGTCGATTGTTATAGCAAAACATACGTTTGCTTCATCGACAATCCCACCAAGAGAATATGATATGAAATTCACACCTGCCCCGTGACCGAAAAGGCGCTCGTGGCAGTGGAACCGAGTGGTTAGCGTGTCCAGCTCCCATCCTGCACTGTCGCGGTTCGACTCCCGCTGAGAGTGTTGATAAGACCGATGTGAGGTGGAAACTGCAGTCCATTGGTGCGTGGATGAGAACAACTTTTGGGCAAGCAAGGCTGTATGTGAAATTAAACGGAAACGACAGCTCAACTCATGTCATTGTGGGAAAATTATTCTTCTATCAGTCCTTCATCACCTTACACGAAATTGGGTGAATTCATCTCATACTACTGATTTACTGTTAGTCACGAAAACAATACTTTATTCGAAAAATACAGTTTAGCTGACACATGTGCAAGGCTCGAGTAGAAAGTGACTCCGAAAAATGGGAATGTGAATTTGACTATGAGGTGGTATCTCATCTCATCTCATATTACTTGGATGAGAACAACTTTTGGGAAAGCAAGACTATGACAAATTGAATGGAAACGTTAGATCAACTCATATCATTGTGGGTGAATTATTCTTTCATCATTTTACACGAAATTGTGTGAATACATCTCATATTTCTTTTACTCTCCTCACACAACAACTACCTTCTACCCACCATCAAATTCGAATTTGCTCTTTTCTCCGATGCTCCTGATTGCTCTGAACCATTACAAAACTGGGCTCGAGATGGTCTCGCGTGGAGGGTGAGTCTGTACCGATGCTGATCTTCGCCCGGCCACGGCCTCTCAGCTGTTGCCCCCCCCTCCTTCTCTCCCCAAACCGGGAGAGGATGAAAGTGCTGCCTCCTCCAGACTTGGCTGCCGATGCCATTCTTCGGCCCATCGGCCAACCTTCAGCCCACAAAGGCGGCATGACAACTGAAATGCTTCTGCGGTGCCCTGGGGTGACAGACTGTGGCTGTCCATCTGGCCGGCGGAGACGCGAGGACCAGATGCCGCAACAACCTCGTCAGTCGAGCAAAAGGTTTACGGCAAGCGGTCACCGATACGACTGGACGATGTCTGTGTGTGTGTGTGTGTGTGTGTGTGTGTGTGTTTGTGCATTTGTGTGCACAGTCCTCACGGTAGGCATGCACACCAGCCACGACTACCAGTTTCTTACAACCGCCTCAAGTTGAAGCGTCGAGAAAAGTCACCAGTTTATTCAGAAATGCTAAACCGATACTCTAAAACTGTGAATTCCAGTAACTTGTCAAGTGAGTTGTCGGGTTGGTCTTGTATGCCAATCACGTAACATGTGAGTAGGCGTGTGTGTGCGTGTGTAAAGTGAGTGTCTTGGTGCAGGCAAGCAAGAATGCTAATTGCAAGCACGTGGAAATACGCAGAATTTTTTGATCTCATCTTCATTTCTTGCGAAGGCGTATGATCAAGCGATTGTCAGCTTGGCCAGACCAGAAGACAGCGGCAGATTCCTCTTGATCCGCCGCTGCTTGACGGACCACTTGAACGGCAAGGCTGCGATTGGCAGCGCCAAGTGTTGGGCAATTAAAGTGTGCTGTAGCAAAGAAGGAACGACCATCCGGTTGGGTTGGGGTCTGGTCGGCCCATTTGACAAGATGCGGCTGCTTTGGGTGTCCCCGATGACAAGTGGCCCCGATTACAGGACAGAAAATGGAGATCAGATGGAGCCACGTCAGAGTAGCCGTTGTTCCGATTAGTCGGCATTTGTAGATAAGTGCACGAATGCGGGGAGGGGGGGCGGGTGATGGACGACAAAATCTACAGATTGGACAAGCCGCGGAGTGTCAGGAGTATCGGTCTCGTAAAAGACCCTCGTAAAAGATCGCATAAGGTGATGCACCGGCCCAGATTGTGGCTTCCATCTCATCATTCAGGTCTCATTAGCTCTGCAAACGGGACTCGAGTCCGGAGTTTAAGGAATGCAATTTCTAGAAATTTCCATCAAATCATCAGAGCTGGGCTTCATTCTTGTCAAAGTCAAATATTATCACTAGGCCAAGGAGACTATCCGGCTTTTTCTTACCTCTTCTACAGACAAGCTACGCCAAAAGAAAATTAAGAATTAAAAACTAAAAACCTAAATGGATATAGAGTGGTTTGGCTAATTATCTTTCATACTGGTCCTGCTACTTTTGCTCCAGTGTGCGCCTGTGTGTATGTGTGTCTGTATGGCAAGTCATAGACTTGGTATTGGGGATAGAAACAGGATAGAGACGGCGGGGACCGGAGCTAGTTGGCTGACGGCAGATCAGTTGTACCAGAGACGTGGTACATGCAGCAAAGGGTTGACCATGGCATTCAGAGGTTCTAGCTTAGAATTAGTCACCCAGACGCAGGGCAGGGCGAATATGGCTTCGAGTAGGACAGTTGTGGTGGCAGGAGTCGAGTGAAACAGGTGAACGAGCGAGAGAGCAGACGGATTTTACGAAGCAAGAGAGAGACTAGTAAAGAGGACTGCACAAGAGTAAAGCAGACTCTGATCAACATTCCCTGCACAAGGATGAAAGGGGGGGGGTGAGAACGACAGTTGGGGTGTGAAGGTTTCATGTCGCTCAAAGGAGCACACCAGACTAGATC